TTTGGGCCTCATAGAGGGATACGTGAGTACCTTTAGATATAATAGATGAATATATGAGTACCTTTAGATCTAATAGAGAGATACGTGAGTACCTTTATGTCTAAAAGAGAGATACATGAGTACCTTTAGATCCGCTTATGTACCTTACTCTTTCCCTGCACTAAATGACCACTGCAGTTACATTTGTCGTTTTGCTGTTGTTTACCCACCCACACCAACCAACATAAAAGCACCACCGTAGTGAGTAGTGCTTTATTTCCAAAAGGCTTAGCCTCTGTGGACGTCAACAACATTATTTCGATAATAATTGGTCGCTTTAAGGACAAAGGGGCTAACCAAGATTTCGGGGGTTTCCAGAAATCTTCACCTACAACCAAAAAGTGGGCTTTGCCCTACCTATAGGAGAAGTTTGGTTTCATTGGTGTGTATATTCGTTTGGTTATAGAGAAAACTCGCCTTGTGTTTTAAATAAATTGAATAAGGGGCAAAAACTTTACCTTCGATTTTCTCAAAACAGCATTTTTTCGGGATAGCCCCCTTGTCCTTTGAAGCGGCTAATTATTTTTCTCTTTCTTCTCCTCAGATATGGTACATGGGCATTGTCCTATTCGGACCCGCTGTTGCCCTCGAAGCAGGTAAAGTCATATTAATAATATCATTGTGTCAGAGTGAGTCCGTAATTGTGTCATTTTGTATCTGCATGTGCCAGAATGTGTTAGTACATGATGTCAGTCCGTGTCAGTATAGTACATGTCCGTATGTGTCAGTTCGTGTCAGTTCGTGTCAGCATGCTGCTGACATGTTATGATGCATTTTTAACATATATTTTAAATACTTTTCTGTTTAATGCTAAAGGATATGTAAGTATGACTTAATCCATTCTTATGCCAGGAGTTTTAGCAAAACACTAGCAACAACAACAACAGCAGCAACAACAACAACAACAATATCAACAACATTTGTTGAAGTGGTCCTAACGAATTTGCTGAAGCGGTTCATAACACATTTAATTGCTGAAGAGGTAGCACTAACATATTATCCGGATTTTGCCAAAGCGATCAAAGCCCAGCCCTACAGCCTAAGTTGTTCCTGGCAGGGGCGAGGCCTGCCTCCTCAATGAATTCTTGTGAACAATACCAAAGACTGTTTGAACATTTTTTGAACTACTTGAATTCTTCATCATAGCCTTTCTTACCCTGGATCAGGATATAAGCCACGAACAAACACTTTCCACCTTTCCCTATCCTGGGCTTGTCGCTTAAAGGCCATTCCATGTCTTCCCACTTTTCTGTATATCCATTTACATGACTCTTCTCCAGGTTCCACGTGGTCTTCCCCTTGATCTTTTACCCTGTGGCTTCCAATCTAACACTTTCCTTGTTATCTCTTCATCTCTTGTGCCACTTGGGAACTCTTTCCTGCTTCATACAAGGTGCGAACATTCCACGACGCAATCCGGAGAGACTTGTTCGACAGAGAATGTTTCAGGTCAGGAGAGCCATCTCGGCTTTGTCCGCTGTCCTTCATCGTTCCTGCTGATGCAGAAGCTCCTCCGTCTCCCAAGATCGAAAAATAAAAAGCTGTGTTTGTCCGTGTTTCTGTAACTTACTGTTTTTTTTATTGGGTCGGGTAGTTGGCCTTCCACAAACTCATTTTCGGGCGACCAGACCTACTCACCTTTCGTCGCCTCTTACGACTCGCAGTATCACGGCAAGTGTATTCTTTGCTCCCCAATAGTAAAATTATGCCCCCCCCCCCACCTACAGGGGCGAAAATGAATTCTTGGATTTCTTAAAAATCGCGAACGTCGCAAATTCAAGTAGCGCCCGAAAAAAAAGTCCCAACTGGTATACGGTATGTGTTATACATAATGCCAGATATCAATTGATGTACATAATTATATTTATTGTCTTAACCTTAATATTAGTACTATTGATCAACTCCTTTTTGTTTCCACCGCCCCCTCCCCCCCCCCTTTCCTCATCTCCCCTACCCCACCCCTACCCCCCTCCCAAACTGTAGTGACTGGCTTCCCTCTATGGAGTTCTATCTTCGTCATCTCATTGGTGTCCGTAATTTATACATCTATCGTGAGTAAATATTTCCGTACTGTTTGTCGTTATATTGTTTTTGTCACAAGTACTATCGTGAGTAAATATTTCGGTACAGTTTGCAGTTCCATTGTTGTTTTTGTCACAAGTACTATCGTGAGTAAAATGATATCTTTGGATTCATTCAAATGTCAGCTGAAGTCGTTTCTGTTTTTAAATTAATAAGATGAATATTTGGAGTAATTTTCTTGTAGTCAGAACAACAACGTTTTATGTCACTGTTGTATGTTGTACTGTATTGTAAAGCGCTCAGAGCCTGTGTACTTTAATCGGGGTTGAGAGCTATATAAATGTCATTTATAATGATTATTATTATTATTATTATTGTTTTTTTTAAATTATTATTATTAAAATTATTATTATTATTATTATTATTATTATTATTATTA